AAATTTCTAGAATTTTTTGTGTGCTGGGAAAACGCAAGGCATATTGGGGAAAACGTAGCCTACCTTATTTTAACAGTTCAGTTTTTACCTCTATATACCTAAAAAATACTACATTCCTAAATATAATACCCTCCAATGATGAGTGTAAACAATCTCTACACGCAGAAAAATTAACACTGGCACGCCACCAACTAATGCGGGAACAAAGAGAGTCGTGCAAGTTGAATCGATCGCTGAATGAGCGAACAATGCCGGAAGATGCTGTATGTTTATCCGGAGTCGCGGTCGCCATGGCAACGCAGCATACGTCAGCGCATGCGTCACTACTACTCGATCAGCTGACATCGACTACGTTTGTTTAATTGATGAATCGATTGTTTCGGTCACAATTAGTGCCGATATTCATGGCCCTGTCGTTGTCGTTGGTCGTTACCATCTATAAATATTCCATCAGCCATTCTCGTTCCAGCTTTATTGTTTCCCATCGGCCCAATACGATAGTCATGATGTATGGCCTCCGATAGCTTTTTAGTTTGTCTCTGTTGGCTTGTAATTATAGATGATCAAGTGATGAACACACGTTGATTTCAATATTCGGTTTTGGGTTCAGTACTACGATGGTATCACGAATTGAACTGTTTTCGTGATGACGAGTATAATTAAATATTATGGATGTAGTATGAAATTGTCTAAAAATAATTATATCGTTTTTCGAAAGATAGACAAATTGTTTACGTAATACATTATTAATTACTAACAGAGATTACCCTCCCTCATGGGTATGGGGTTAGGGAAAAATTATTAAAATTATTCAAATACTGTAATTTAAATCTAACGATTTCCTTTCTACATTCCGTCTGTATACAGAGAGGCTGAAAAGTAACTTACCCCCCCCCCATTTAACTTTACAACCATTTGATATATTTGAAATCAGTTTGTGGCGACCCTCTAGATATGAGGGGCTACAATAATTATGGTTGATTTTGAAAATTTTCGCCTTAGGAGTGCGGGGGTAGGGGTGGCTCAACATTTTCAAAGGCAAGTATAGTCGAGTTTGGTATCATTTTCCAGGTCTTGACAAAACTAAACAATTTACATAAAGAAAATCAAAATCGGACCACTAATAACAAAATGGCGTCCTAAAACGTATCAAATCCAAATAACCATGAGGGCTGAAAATTAACTTGCACCTCCTTAAATATTTAACTATTTGAGATATTTGAAATCGGCTTTCGGCAAACTGTTTGAATATGAGGGGCTACAATAATGATGGTTAATATTGAAAACTTTGCCCTTAGGTATTGGGGGTGAGGGGTAGCTCAAAATGATCAAAAGGAAACATGGTCGAGATTGGTATCTTTACAGGTCTTGACTAAACTAAACAATTAACATAAAGAAAATAGAAATCGGACCACTTACAACAAAATGGCAGTTAAAAATTACTTTTAATGGCCAATGTCTTAATAATTTTTCTTACCCTGAGAGCTTCTTTAAAAGCTTACTCCCAGCTTTTTATTTACTTATATGGTAAATTTGTTAAAAAGAGTATTAATCAAAAACTTCACTGGGTAAAATTTCAATTCAATATGTTTTTTTATTTTCTTCAATATGATAAATTAATTTCTTCCTCAGGATTTGGATATTTAGAAGCAGTTGATTGTAGCGTCCTCAACTCAAGAGACTTTCATTTGAAGAGACGACAAAATTCTCTGCGATTAATTATCACTCAAAACGCGATTTTCTCTCATAAAAGGCACGTTCCGTTCATTTCAAGTAGCAATCAATATTAGGCCTAGTGATTCTAAACATTAAAGATCCTGATCACTAGAAAAATCTGTGTTATATCTGTATTAAAAGAATAAATCTAAAGCCCACCTGACCTTAGACAACCCATAAAATGATATTAAAATTAAACTTTTAATAACTGATTATTTCATAGAAGATCTTACATGTGGAATAATTTTAATTAAATTTGAAATTGAACCATATAACTTAGTTTTAAATACATTGTAATTGCATTTAATTTATGTCAAATTAAATTAAATCGTTATTACACAATAACCATTTAATAATACCAAGAAGTCCAAACATAATACAAGAAGTCGACATTGCAATTGAATTGAATTGAATTGCCTTCAGTACACTCTTAAAATTGCAAACATAATCAAAAATTGGTAAAAAATAATCATCATTATTATTTTATTTTTTTATTTATTTATTTACAGAGTATTTTGAGACTGAAACCATTCTAGACAATTCCGAAACTTTCGGTTATGTGATAATTTTTGGTGGGAATTTATTAAAACAAGAATTTAACGTGTTACTACTGATGATACTTGGCTAAAAATACCTACTTTGTATGGTCGCCATTTCATAGAACAGTATTAACAGATGGTATTAAAAAATGTGAAATAATTTTGTATGTATACTCGACAACCCTAAAGTTATTTGAATAAGTAAAATCTTAGATAAAGGAATTACGACTATTTTAGTAAAAAATAATAATGACACAAATGGAAATTCACGTGGTCTGCGAATTTGCTGTGGGATATTTTCAAGGCATTTTTCAAATCACGACATTCATCTCAAGTCAAAATAACACGAGTTATAAACTTTGCTGCTTTGAGCGCCACTTTAATGAAGCCATTGAATAATCGAGGGGTTGGAAGCACCCTTTATAATTGCAAATGGGTTTGAGGGCGAAAGAGACGCAGTGTAACCTCAACAGGCTTGCGGGCCGCCCCTGGCACAACATTGCATAACATCATCTATGTACACAGCGGCGACATTCCGTTAGACAAAGGGGTTGACACACGTTTACTACCCTACCTCGTGCTGCCTCAAGATTATCGCAAGTTACGTAGTCAATGGTTGTACCCAGTATCGTGTACATAGTGTAAAGTGTTGCTATAGGTTCAGTTAGGTTAGGCTAAGGTGTTATAGTTTAGCTTTCATACTTTGTGTATGTAAAAGGGAGCTTTTGTTTAAAGCGTGTCGAGTTTTGCTGCATTATTTTATTGAATAATGATTGTACTCAAAATGGTTTACTCTTACTGGACTTTTTCCGTTAATTCCCTGCCAATAATAGTGTATTAGGTTAGGTTAGGTTAGGTTAGGACCTTTTCCGTTAACATAGTTCCTAACCTAACCTAACCAAATATACTATTTAGTGGTAGTGAATTAACGGAAAAGGTCTGATGTTAGATTTTGAATTTTATGAATTATTCAGTGATTTGAGTCTACATGGAGATATCGTAGAACAACATTTCGAATGGATATTTTTATGCGTTTAAACTATTGTAGTTTCAAGGTGTGTAAAATAGCAAAAGATGAATAGCACACATCAGTCTTCCATAGGGAAGTAGTACAAGTTATAATTGTTTACAAAACTATACACAATGATGATTTTTATGTGTTTATGCTCAGTATACATTTATAGTAAACCCAGAATGACTTACGCGAAGAAAGGAAATGTATGAACAGTTTGACCTCTCAAACTATAAGTTGATGATATTATAATGGATTATGCTTTATGGTAAAATGACCTGTAAAATGTGCTATGTGCTGCAACACAATATTAAATAGCCAATTAAGAAACTAAGCCTTTAAGACACCTGGTAGGTATGCATAAATCTTGATGTAGGTTTTTATGTCAATATTTAAGAAAAATCTATTATGTTACAAAAAAAAAATACAATGTATAACAATCAAAATTTACATTTCAACAATAGTACACAAATATATCGATAACTATTTGCCATAAAATCATGATGTACTGTACGAGTAAATATCTAAAGTTGGTTTTTGTACTTAACAGTGGCAGAACGTTTTAAAAGTATTGACAAATATCGTGTAAAATTGTTTTACTTCTATTTTGTTTGTTACACAAACACTCATCGGATAATCGGATTGGTCTGGTTGGCGATCTCATTCGAATGGATGTTTTGTTGGTTTAATCGTTTGTTCAGATAACAATAAAACTCATTCTCAATTTACGGGGGCTATAATGTCAATTGAGCTGGACCGATTAGATACCTCGGTGGACATGCCTCTACATGGACCAGCTGTATCCAATGTGTTAATCAAATTGAACCTGTAAGAGCAACTTACAGAATGAGCTACAGTACTGGAATAGTTATTTGTGTAACTAGTGTGCGAAGTGGCATTTTGCTACACACGATATAATTTTTTTACTCACGAGCCACAGGCGAGTTACACATTATATTTTTTTAAGTGTTACACATTATATTTTTCCTACAGTTATTATAAATCATAGAAATAATTACAGTAGTCTTTCAAACACTATACAACACGTTTTAGGTTAGGTTAAATCCAAGCGTGGAACTAAATCGGAAACACTGCAACAGCTGATCGTTGTCTTTAAGTGTTGCCAACTTATTTTTAAGCATAGACGTATTACGTGCCTTTGGAATTCTGGAGTGCGGCAAAAGTAAGTAAATGCAGCACAATAATCACTAATCAGTGAAACGAAGCTCACTTTGTCAGGTAACTGCAAGAAAACAAATTTTTATCCCTTTTGATACTATGATGATTTGACTTTTATATTGATAGCCTATAAAAAATGTTATAGTTTACAGTAAGCTGTTCTTTCAAAAAAATGTTTGTGAAAAGATCATACATCAATTGAAACATACACTCTGTTGGATGTTACGTTGTGATTTGCACAGTTATGTTTGTTTTTCCTCAGTTGGTCTTGTACTTGCGGGACTTATGCACTAAATACGAGGAACAGGATGTCGTCCAAAACTTGCATTTTGAAATTATTTATCCACTACTCTGTGGTTAGAAGCACACCTTATGCTGTGGCCTTTATCAAGTAGAAATATCGTCCTCTTTGACTGGAAGATCTACATTTATTTATTAAATTCGCAAAAACGAAAACCCATACGGTAATTACATTTTAAATCTGGAAATAACCAACAAATACCCTGCATTTGATAAAAACGAACAACAATAAATGAATTACTGCACTTACTTACTGAAGTGGCTCCAAAAATCTCAGTTGATTCTTCGCTTCGTGTACCAGCATCTTCCACCCTTCTCTGTCTTCTGCCACGTTGCCATTTGCATCCATTGTCCTGATGTCGTTCAATACTTTGTCAGTCCATCTCAATTTCGGCCTTCCCAATGGAAGTTTACCTCCAGGTGTGGCTCTCCAAACTCCATAGTCTTGTTCCTTTCTCTCTTCTTAGCTCATGCCCTATCCAAATTCTTCTTCCTTTAACCATTGCAACAATATCTGGGTCAGTGTAGTGATCTTAGCTCTCTATTTTTCCTTATTCTCCACATTTCTCCCTGCTGCACTGGTCCAAATATTTTCCTTAGGACTTTATTCCCAAACACCATGAGTCGTTTTTCATTTTTCTTCGGCAATATTACTGCACTTACAATTTACAAACAAATTAGGTATTTAAGTTGCATTTACTCACGTATGCGTTTTTATCACGAAACTCTGCAAATTTTAGATGAAATCCAATTAAAAGTTGGATAAAATAACACTTGGAGCTTTCCAGACTGTTACAGGTACAATTGCTTCAAGAGAGGACAATTAGTACGCAGTCTAAGCCGGTTGAGGAACGCTATGTAAGGCCGCACTAATGAGCTGGCCTCTCTGTTCTATACAGGGTTACTTAGCAGAAAAACTCGTATTAGAATACTCGAATATGGTGTGTATGCTGGAATATTCACTGTAACTGTGAGTTAAAAACAGATTTTTAAAAAGATGAAAAGGTAAAGTTTGTTTAATTACTTATTTTCTCGTCTGAAATGCTTTTTCTCTGTTTGATACAACAACGTTTAATAGTACTAGCTGTTACCCACGGGATTCAACACGTTTGACTTCATAAGTATTAATAAAACCATTGATTGGTTAAGTTAAGCTTAAATAAACAAAACCGAATAGAATAATACAAACAAATAATCACCAGGGGCCGATTTCATAATAAAGTACAAACTAATATATTACTAGCTGTTGTACCCGTGCTTTGCAACGGGAAGAGGACACAAAATAGAAACATTTTAATCTTTATCTCTTGCATATAATAGTTACACATCCGCCAACGCTTTTAGAAACAAAATTCAACTTTTATAGCCTTAATAGAAACGTTTAAGTTATATGACTTTTAAATCTAGTAAGTAGTGGATAGCACCATTTTGGTTTTGATTAATTTTAAATCTTGTGTAGGCTGATATGAGAAAAACTGACCAAATCTTCGAATAAAACATTGACATACATGATTGACCTTAATCTTACATATCTTTTAATTTATTATTGACATTTTAAATTTTAATTTTGAAGTTGCAAAAATACTAATTATTAAATTTAAATGAAAATTTTTTTAAATTTCACTCTTCTTTATATTAAATCACAAATCCTTCGATCTTCAGTTTCTTCACTCACAATAAATCATTAGCAAAACTAAGTCAGCTGTTATAAACTTTAGAAATATTGCTGTGCTAGATCAATACAGTTTTTTTGAAATTTTAAAGAAACTATATCTATAGGTACTATAAAAAATTGTAAACAAATAATTTAGCATTAAAGACAGCAGACAAAACTAATATGATTAACAAAGCATCAAGGACTAAAAAATGTAATAGCAAATACAGTATATGTTTCATTGCATCTCTGATTCTACTCTACAAAAATATCAACAAACAACTTAATATACAAACTCGTTCTTTTAATCAGCTCCATCGTCCATTGCCTTTACATTTTCACCCTTACCATTAAGTAAACATAGTAACATATATTTCATTGATTTTAGAAACAAAAGAACACTGTGTACTGCTTAGTTTTATGATATTTTCCTTGGTTTAATTTAATCAGTGGTGTGGCAAAACACAAATAATAAATGTATCAAATAAATTAAATGTGAACTGAAAGCTATGTTAAGATAAAATAAGAGTATTTTGTATTAGCATTTGATAATTAAATATAGTTATATATACACAACAGATTTTAGAAAACAAAAATCATCGTACAATTTAGTTATTGACGATATTCTTTAGTTTAATTTAAGCATAGGTTTAGCAAAACACAATAACTTAATTTACCTAAATATACATATAAATACCCCCGCCGCAGCAAACCTGCCGACTAAGCGAATTTCCATTTGTCTGAATTTATTTTCAATTAAATTTATTTAAATAACATTAGGTTTAATGAGTACCTAGGTTTGCTGCTACCAGGAAACTAATAAAGTGTATTTTTTAGGAAAATATTTATAGCTTAGTGTAAAATAAATAAATTTGCCAAGTTTGATCAAAATAAATCCATAAACAAGCAAAATACAACGGTTATTTTCTCCATAAGAATAACATGGGAATTTTAAATTTACAATTTTTTTAATTTTCTCCGTTACCAATCATCGTACAAAATCACTTTGATATACTAAATTATTTGTTTTTTAAGCTCTTTAAAAAGGTCTAGAGAGAAATTGGGTAATTTTGTGTTTTGAGGGTCAAAAATGAGAAAACCCATTTTTTATCCCATAAAACCTCCCGTAAAACGACGTTCCCATGGTCCGATCATGCTGGTTCGCGAACTCATTCAAGTTTATCCCGCCTTACACCTTTATACCAAATTTCATCAAAATCGGACAAAACACATGTTAAGCAGTTAGAACTTATTTAAAGTAGCCTCCAAATTCATATAAAACATCTATACTTTGTAATTTTAATACTGTTTCCATGAAAACATATCAATAACATTATTTTCATTACTTAGACGCTTTAAAAAATCCAAAGCAGAGCCGGAGTTGATACAGCAACGGTTATAGAATTTTTTTTTTATAATCATTGACATAGTTTCAGAATAAATAATCCATGATAAAAGGTTAGATTAAAATAAACCTACCTCATAGTTATGGAAAATATTATATTTAATTTCTTTGTATCAGCTGTCTGAAATTGTGAAATATGCAGTTTAGCAGTTCTTCTTGTTTACATTTAAATGTCAAAGCAAATGTAAACAAACATTGTTAGTGTTCTCATCACAGTCATGGAGACCAATCAATATTTGCTTTTAAAATATTCACCTCAGAACTTTTAAAACCAAAGGGGCAAAGCCTACGGTCAGTTTTGAAATGTGAATAGTCTTATAATGGTCCTTGGTATGGTAGCTATATTTTTGTATAATTTAAGCCCAGTTGGTTCAGTAGTTTTTGCACCTATTAGTAATACACATACAGACAGACACCATTAGATTTTTATATAATAGTATAGAAGATTAGTAAATCAGCTGATCGCCCAATGCAAATCTAATGGAAATTACAAGTTACTAGTTGTTACTTGTAACTTGTAGTTTATTATGAATGGGCCCCTGTTTTTTGGTAATAAATTGAAGGAATAACAAACAAATACGTACAGCTGAGGTATTTTTAACATTAGGTATATGGAAAATTCCCTTTGGAAAGTAATTACGACCTTAAAGTGCAATTTATGAAATAATGGATAGTTTTGCGCAAGGTTTCTCGTCATGACGAACATTTTAAGTATATGGTTTATGGGACGTGATTTGTGGTTTCTCAAAAGTTCATGGGTACTTTGGGATTTGTATATGGATTGCCATTGACTATTGGATACACTACTTAATATTACAGTATTTTGACTGATCTCATCGTGCTGTGAATCTAATTAAAAATTGTCAGTAGTATTCAGAGCATATTATTCATTTAACGTATAATTAAATCAGCATTTGATAAAAATTAACGTTTAATATCAGTTTGTACGCGTATGGTATTATTTTTGAATATTATTTTTGTCCTCATGAGTACGTTGCAACAGTATCAGTATTCACTGAGTTTGAAGCGCATTGCCAATCTCAGTATCAACATCAATATCAGAATCCACCAAGACTGGAGTGTACTGTAAATATCAGAGCATCTGTATAAATTTCCTTGTCTCAAGTGCACCAAATATACACATATTTGGACAGATGATCAGTATTCACTAAGTGTTCAGTTGCAATTCAGCAAAAATATCAGCATTAACTGAATGAGGTTAATGTTATTTCTACGTCAGTATCACTAGAGGTAAGGTGCAGTATCAATATCAGTATAAATTCACTGAGTGTGATGTGCAATATCAGTAGTATCAATATCAGCATCCGTTGAATATCGGGTGATATTTCTACGTCAGTATCACTAAGTGTAAGGTGCAGTATCAATATCAGTTTATATTCACTGAGTGTGAAATGCAATATCAGTCAGTAGTATAAATATCAGCATACGTTGATTATGAGGTGATATTTCTACGTCAGTATCACTAAGGGTAAGGTGCAGTATCAATATCAGTATATATTCACTGAGTGTGAAGTGCAATATCAGTAGTATCAATATCAGCATTCTTTGAATATCAGGTGATGTTTCTACGTCAGTATCACTAAGTGTAAGGTGCAGTATCAATATCAGTTTATATTCACTGAGTGTGAAATGTAATATCAGTAGTATCAATATCAGCATTCGTTGAATATGAGACGATGTTTCTACGTCAGTATCACTAAGGGTAAGGTGCAGTATCAATATCAGTATATATTCACTGAGTGTGGAGTGCAATATCAGTATTCACTGAGGTGTTTTCTAACACACGCAACAGCAACCTTGTAAATCACGCAGTTGAGCCCCAAGAGCCGTTTTAAAGCTAATAACGCCCCAATGGAACTTTACACTGTAACTTTATTACAATTGCCGCTCATGGTTTCTCATATGTAGTGGTATCTCTGTACCACACTTATTTCTTTTTGTTTAAATATTTTATTTAACGAAACAATTTTATTTTCGTTCTTTGTATGATTTTATTTTATTTCTGATCCTAAAATGAATTGGCAATTAATTGTTACATATGAGTTATTATTGTGTATGTTTGTTCTATTGAGTTATTTATTCTTATTCACGTTGATCGCTAACTATAAATTGTGAACAAAAAAATACTTAGGGGATTAAGTTTTGGTAGTAGAGAGCCAGGTAAAGTAATCAGGTACCTAACTTATTTGATCGGAACTGTTTTCCCCTATAGAGATTAATATTCAATGTAATCTTTGCTCAATAGTAAACAACTGATGTTTTCCCCCTTGTACTGTATATTGTAATCTGCTAGTATACTGTGGATGGCTTGTCATAAACACATTTTTCAAGTCTTTAGTTTACTTTTCCTTATTATTTTGTTCAACCAACATAGTTACTTGGCAACCTATAAGGCCAATGTTAAAAATTTAAATATTCCAATGAGTTGTGTAGCGAAATAGTGTTTTCCTGTGTGGCTGTCACCAATCACGTTTTGGCTATGAGTCCCTAATTCCAAAAAAATATTCAAAATCCTTCCGCTGGATTTCGAATTTTTAATTGCACACAGACAGCCACATAGCTCGTATAGGATATTCAAAACATTTGTAATGTTGTTTACTCTAACATCGATTCACAATATCCACAAAACAGTCAAACAATGCTCTCGCATGGCAAAAAGCCAATATTTCCCACTTCCGTGATTTATTCACGATTTCACCTCAAACCAAAACAAAGCAATCTGCAAAGCGTTTTATTCCTACTCAGTCGAGGGAAAGGAGGCAAAATGAAAACAAGAATAGACAAAGAGGAGACAAGAGAGGTGGCGAATAATGAAGTGACGGAGGCGACATTTGTTGTCACGATGGCCTGAGGGTAGTAGAAGGGTTGGTGTGGAGGGTGAGAGGGAGGGTGAGAGGGAGGGTGAGAGGGAGGGAGCCGATGTTTGTAGGACGGAGCGTAGCCGTGGAGCCTGTGTGTATCGGAATGTCACCAATCGATGGCTTATTTCGATACGACTATCGCAATAGTTAGCATCGATTACAAACCAGTTAGTGTTGCATTTTGGTGATAATAGTCTGTATAAAATGTGAAAGTACATAAGAGTTTTGTTCATTAATGATAATTTCAAAGTGATTGATTCAGTATGTGATTGCAGTTTGAGAGTAGTTTTCTGATATGCCTAATTGAGAGGACCTTGTAAGTTTTCTTCAATTTTATCTAAACATCAAACTTAATTGTTACAATTTATCAATTCTACAAACACCCAACATTGTAAACATTAGGGTTATTAGTTTCATAATTTATCACTCAGAGTGTAACATTTTTTTGAATTTGTAGTAAATCGCAAAAACTTTGCATACACCGTATTTTCTGAGAAACGTAACCTCTGAGAACACATACGAGACATTTCTAGGAACCTCGCTCATTAATGTTTTCAGGAATCGAGAAACTATTTGGCGTGAATCTTTAAACCACAATATATACATTAAGTATAAAAACAACACGTCAATGATGCGTTTTAAATCTAGACTCCAGGTTATTAAATTACAATCCAATTATTTTTTGTTGATAGCTAAGTGGTTAAATAATCAAAGCTTTGATACAAATTTGGCAACGAAGATTATTCTTACAGCTGTAGATTAACTGGTGTCGGAATAGATTTTCCAAATTCGACAGTGTAATCGGTAAACCATCGATATATCGAAGGATGCGACAGTAGGGGTGGCGCAGCTGCTGATGCTGATATAGTAGTGCTGAGGCTATGGCTGAGGAAGGCTGTTGTTGTCTTCCTCTCCCCCGTCGACGTTCCCGGTGTTCAGCACGTCATCTCCTCACCTCTAGGCAGCCGTGCAAGGTACGTGGACAGTGGTGATATCAAGGTAGCAGTGGATGTTTATATACCAACAATGTCTCTGCAGACGACGCTATAAGTGAGGATTCGGAAACTCGTTTTCCATAAGGATGTGCTGCACTCTCGTATTGTTTGTATTCTTTACATAGATTTTTCAATATTCATATTCCGAGATAGAATTAAAATTATTTAACCCATGAAAATTACAAGTAATGTGTTTCTTACGTAACTGAAACAAAGTATTTTTGCTATAGTGTAAACAAATAATATTTTTCTTCAAACAATATATAGAAAGTTATATGGTATTTAGCATGAAAATTTTATATCTCAAACCCCCTTTGGGTAACTAAACAATTTGAATTAGTTTAGTTGAGGATTCGGAAACTCGTTTTCTATAAGGTTACTCTACAATATCATATTGTTTGTATTCTTCACATGGCATTTTCTATATTCACAGATATGTTGTAAGAACACTAGCAATGCTAAAGAAAAATTATATTGACTGGGAAATGTCATATTTTAAAACCATTTCGTGTAATTAAACGAATTGAATTGGTTTCCGCAAAAAAAAACGAATTCACGTTTGAATTTGCAAATAAATAACATCTGATCTTTAAAAATATTTTTTCTGAATGTAAATTCGATGTTGTGGCTCTCCAGCATCAAACCCGGTGATTATTAGGATTATTTTTTCTTTATAAAAACATTTTTTGTCATTTTCCCAGTCCGTGTTAAATATAAAGATATAGGCTTTTTAAATTGAATTGCAGTAATATTATTCTCTCAGTGTATCCGTAGTCATAAAAATGGCGATCCTATACAAGGTGATACGAAAATTATAAGAGTAGTTAGTTTTTAAAGAAACAACAAAAGACACACATTTTCAGAATAATAAGTTTACTTGCAGTGCACAGAAATATTTTCCGTCTTCCAAGTATACAAATTACACATCATTATACAAAAAGTATACGAACTATAATTATGACCATTAATTTACAATTTCATGAAAAATGTGTTTAAATTTATGTAAGCCTATGATAAATTAATATTTAGTGTATTCAGATTATTAATACGAATATTTTAATAAAACTTATGATTATATTTCATGCAATTCACGTACAGACTACTTTAATTTTAACTTAAGACGTAATTTCAACAAGTCTGTACAATTAATTTAACAAGAGGACGTCCAGTGGTCGAAAAATCGACCAAAAATATCTAATGAACAGACTTCTCTATTATCACACCACGCTGTAAATAAAACATGTGATTGGAATTTCTTCTTCCATTTGTTTTGGTTCCCTGTTTATATTTCGTCACCCATAGGGCTCATGTTAATTGTTTAAATTTTAAATTCATTTGCTGTGCTTATTTTTGAGCCTATTTTAATTTTTAAAGGGATTCTGCACACCTATAGGAAAACATCTTTCTAACAGTATGCGTAGATTTTCCCTGCGATGCACACAAACTGAGAAAAAAAGTTTTAAAGAAACATGCTTCGCTATTAAATAGATTCTACATTATCAAATGTATACGATTAAGTAAGTTACTGTACAACGAACTGCAAAAAACATGACCAAATTTCTATTCTTGATATTTTAGATTACTATACAACTTTTTTATTGAATAATGCACTTTTTCCAAGTCAAAAATCTAGAGTTTCCAACTTCAGTATGACTTCACAGATATTTTAATGAAAAGAGTGAAACCGCCTGTAGCCACACAGCAGAGCCTTACAGTGTCGGATAGGCAACAAGATTTCTGTATCCGAATTGCGTTGTTAAACTTGAAGGCTTTCGTTTTAATGCGTTTTGTTGTTGAAGTGTTTACAATATTTACAATTTTGTCACGAGCATTGATTTGAAATAATTTTTTGTGTAGTGATCAGTTTTTATTTTTCATTCTCAGTGTTGGTATTACCATTGATAAAACATACTCCCTTAGCCAAAACTCTGCATTTACAAGTAAATCTTTTCAACATTTGGAAACACTATCATATCGAAACGAAGACTGTGGGACCGTCCCGTATCCAGTAGCCCCATTAAGTCCCAGCCTGAACGTAGTAGCATTATGGTTGATATATTTCTGCTATGTAACTACACAGGCTTTTGACTTTAGTACTGAAATGGTCAAAATGCTGATAAAATGTGCAAGTGTGTATTTATCGCTGTTAAGGTGGTGAGGTAAAAAAAATTGCCCCTCGTAAAATTGTAATAGTATATTACGTTACTAGTCCTGAAAATAAGTGTTTACCGGACGAGAGTGGTCGTTCCCAAGCGAGACGAAGTCGAGTACGGGATTACCATACGAGTCCGGTACACACATTTTGGACGAGTTACGTACGATAGTTTACGCCATACTACTAAAATTATTTTTCCTACAGTCACCCGACAAAGTTGGCTTCCTTGTACTGTTTATAGTACAGAAAGCTGCTAATTGCTGCATATTTATACTTTGCCGTACGGTTTATACTTTGCCGCACATCAGTATTCCAACGAAACAACACAAAACAGCGTGGTTCTATTATGCACGTAATCCGTGTACGCTTGGAAATAGGTTGGCAACACTTAAAGATAATAATACTATGAGCAGCTGACTGACTATTATAACTACGATTTAACCTGTCATTTCGTGTTTATAGTTTAGGTATTTCTGAACTTTCTGGACTTTTCATTTAAACGTTTTTAAAACATTCCTACGATCTTAATAAACAAGAAAATACCTTTAAAGCGTTTTTTTTTTGCGCGGAAACCACTTCAAATTACAAAAACATACGGAACTATATTCTCAAAACGCGGAGTACATTTCTTGCCGAGGAAAAATAGCGGAGTGATACAGACCGCGGGTACTACTTTCTCTAGGGCACCTATTTGTGTTGCCAGCTGAACCTAAAAACGTGTTGTTTAGTGTTTGAAAGACTAATTATTTATATGCTTTATAGTGACTGTAGGAAAAATATAATGTGTAACACGAGTGAAAAAGGCCTTTGCTGCACTCGAGATCATTCCGCACTCGCCTGCGGCTCGTGCGTAAACATTGCTCTCGTGTGCAGCAAAGTGCCACTTTCACCACTAATTACACAAATAACTATAGTAGAAAGAAAGAATTTATCCATCCGTACAAATTCTTATATATTTCCACCAACTAAAGGTCTAAAAACCGCTAGTTATATTATGTTTTTGTTTATAACCACTCACTGCCACCTAAATACAGTATAATCTGCTGATTGGTGTCCGGTAAAACTCATTGCAGCACAGTAGTACGCAATGAAACCCCATTTGAATAAGCTGGCGGCAAACAGCTGTTTTCTGGACTAAATCCTTGCTTGGGAAGTTCGTCAAAATAATGTAGTGTGGCGTAATAGTATATTACGTTACTAGTCCTGAAAATAAGTGTTTACCGGACGAGTGTGGTCGTTCCCGTGCGAGACGAAGTCGAGTACGGGATTACCATACGAGTCCGGTACACACATTTTGGACGAGTTACGTACGATAGTTTACGCCATACTACTAAATCCGTACATATCCTTATATATTTACACCAACTAAAGGACTAAATATCACTAGTGATAACCTCAAAGAGAGGTTATGTTTTTGTTTATAACCACTCACTGCCACCTAAATACAGTATAATCAGCTGATTGGTGTCCGGCAAAACTCATTGCAGTACAGTAGTACGCAATGAAACCCCATTTGATTAAGCTGGCGGCAAACAGCTGTTTTCTGGACTAAATCCTTGCGTGGGAAGTTCGTCAAAATAATGTAGTGTGGCGTAAAATTGTTTAATATTATTTGAACTAAGACTATGCCTATACACATTTTTCCATAATTTTTAAATAAATGTTGTTTTTAGATATCAAGGTTTTTAGCTACTAAATACAGCGCTTTTCTGTCTTGGTTCACTGACCTAAAATTTTGATTGTATTTATGATTAATTAATCTTTAAAACTTAACATAAATGAAATTGTAAAAAAATTAAATAAAAATTTACCTCTTTAATATATCTATCTATACTATTATATAAAAATCTAATGGTGTCTGTCTGTATGTGTATTACTAAAAGGTGCAAAAACTACTGAACCAACTGGGCTTAAGTTTTACAAAAATATAGCTACCATACCAAGGACCATTATAGGACTATTCACATTTCGATACTGACCGTAGGCTTTGCCCCTTTGGCTTTAAAAGTTCTAAGGTGAACATTTTAAAAGTAAATATTGATTGGTCTCCATGACTGCGATGAGAACACTAACAATGTTTGTTTACATTTGCTTTGACACTTAAATGTAAACAAGAAGAACTGCTAAACACTGAGATAGCTCAGTGCTGCTAAACTGTATATTTTACAATTTCAGACAGCTGATACAAAGAAATTAAATATACTATTTTCCATATCTATGAGGCAGGTTTATTTTAATACAGCTAGTATTTTATAAAACACAATTGGCATTCGATTGCAATACAAATCATGTCATTATAACGGCCCTCAAACCCCCCCTTTGGATAGCCTGTGTGTGTTGTAAATTCCTGTGTTATTCTTTACATCTGTATACATGCTGTTTAATTTTTATCAACTAGTTTTTTTTCACTTCATGTTGGTACATTGTACTGTCCCTGTGTAGGTGCTCTTATATCCGGAGGAAGGCTGGGCCCGCAGCGCCATGTCATCCTACTGGATACTGGCGCCTTGCTGGTGGAGCTGGTCTAGGTGTAAGGTCATTGAGGTCACAGGCACGAGGAGGTAAGTGTGTGTGTGAAAAACCTTTTAAAATCCAGTTTGTCAGGAAACCTTTGCTCGTAAAATACAATATTATCTAGGAAAGATGTTTGTTCAACAAATCGCCTGTGATTTACTATGCTGAGCTCCGAATTGTCCAGCTTTCAACAGTAAGCAACACAATACTACTTACATCCATTGATAGGGCAAGTTACACAGACTGGTACCGATACCTCATAACTCCACTGCAATACCTCACAACAGAATAATGTTTAAGACAACTGGGTGTCTGAGTTTTTCTTTCTGAAAACCAATTTAGATTATAAAGTGATGATCTATTTTTCTATACACAGCTTAACAAACTGGAGCAGCATGGTATATCTGTTGCAGACACATGCCGTGATATGTTTGGTCTTTGGTGCACCAAGTGATGTAAAAACCACACAAGTTTTTTTTTTTATATAAAAGCAAAATTACTTATGTATTGTGTTTTTGCAGGTTTACCACAAAAGCTCAAATGATCAGCTCCGATCACAGTTTATGCATCATTGGTTCCTTTAAGAAGATGAACATTGATCCTGATTTTAAGGTAAATATTGATACCTTTACAAAATAGAAACGGTTTCATGTGTGTTTTGTCATAAAACGTCTGTATACCGTAACACTGATTATTGGCCAAACATATAAATGCGGCAGCAGTTATTCGGTTTTTGTGATAAATGAGTTGGCTAAGAGATGAACATTGTTAACAGCTCACTTGCTGCAAAGTTTAACTGCTGGCACTAGGACGTTGTTACGCAGGGTTCGCCCGGTTGCCGGAGTGTTAATATTTAAATTTTACTGCAAATGAATGGTAGCAATCTTTGCAGAGTCCCTTTATTTGTCCACATACCCACTTTGATCTTGGATACTAACTCTCAACTAAAATATCTGCTGAAGTTCCTATCCATCATTGCAAAATACCCAGCCAATAAAGAACCAATTCCCGTCCGAAACAACCCGAGCAATGTCCTTAGATACGTTCATTGGCAAACCATAGCTCAATCTCTGACCCAACAGCAGCAGTAAACGTTTTGTAGCTCTTCGGTAATGGGTTGGTTGGGTTGAACCACACCAACGTAGGTAGGTTCATTTTCTGTGAACTCATTGGGGATACCGGACCTTGATATGTCAAGTAACTGTGAACCAAAATCAGACAAAGAAAGTGACAATGAGCCTCATCACAGTGAATGATTGCCCTTTACGAGCGACTCCTAAGCCCAGATGATGTTTTTCGACCTCAAAGCTTTGTGAAACAGCCATATAACTTTACTGCATATACACTCAGATATTACAAACCATATAACCGTGTACCTATTAACCATGAATATTAGAACAGAAACAGTAAATGATTAATAATATAAACATAAACAAATTATGTTACTATGGCCCTAAAGTAAGGATACAGTATTATATAACATTACTGAAATGGAACTGTCTAAATAAACCATGTTAATGTTTTTAGTATAGGATTCGGGCCAGTTAGGTAATTTGTTTATGATGCATACCACTTCTGTTCTAATATTCATGGTGTTAACGTAGAAGTATCTTTGACTTTTGATCCAGCTAGACATGCCATCCTCATGTTAAATCTGTCTTCAGTTTTTTATCAAAATCGTCATAGTTGATGTGAGCGTGATTAATAATAAATTTCAGTCAACAGATTGTGCTGACCTAAATTTTCTAATTTCTGTCAAATTCACAAATTTGTTACCAAGTCAAACTGATTGAATGACTTATTGTGAGCTATAGCAACTGTTATGACTCATGAAATTTGTCAGCAACAAAAACTATAAGGTTGAAAATTTTAACTTTCTTTTAAACACTAGCGCATTCTGTGACTAGCTCACACAACTAAGTTTTTTTTACTAAAATATTGGTGACGCTGGTCCATATAGATGTTATGTCTACTTCAGTATATAATAGTCAATATGATAGTATCATAGGCAAAAATAGAAAATAGACCGACAGCAGTGCTGCGGTTAGCATATGTTCCGGCGTCCACCGCTAGGAGTGCCGTGTAGTTAAGGCGCACACTGCTGCAGCCTCTGCTGATAGCATAAGGCTCCTTGCCTGCAGCTGTGCGCCGTAACTACATGGCACTCCAAGCGGAACCTTCCTTTGACATTCTATATTTATTCTATTTGTTGTTCTTTGTTGTTGGTAGCATCAACTCTTCATTTATCTTAAATCAGCTGTTTAATGTGTCTAGTTGAGTTTAACATCCAACGTGACGATGGCAGACTTCAACATGGGCTACATGATGACTGGATCACTAGAGCGAGGACACAAGAAGAAGAACAGTTACCAAACAACACACTTTGCCATCATCCAGAGAACTGATTTCTCCAACTCCTAAGAATCCTTGACGCTGTGAAGTAGAGTAAGCCGCTTCAAAACATGCAAGTATAATGTAAACACGGTGGCCCAATGTTACCAACAGGAAACAACAATATTTGTCTTAAGCACTCAAAAATTACCTATACAGCTATTTTGTACCAAATATGAAATCCAATCAGTGCAAAGATAATCCTTTATATCCATTAGGAATATGAAAGTATAAAAAGTATAAATTTAAAATTTTACCATCTCCTCTTAATTGTCAGAACCTAACTTATATTAGCCCTTGACAGATTATTGTGTTAGGATTAATTTTGTAAAGACACAATGTCTACTTAATGGTATTTAAATAATATTTAGTGTAGTCATGTTTGAAACTCTTTTGCAACCAATCATGTTTCAATAGAAAATCATTTATACAAATTATGAACATCTATGATGTACTTTCAGTTTTACTACATAAGTATATATATTCCAGCCAAACCTTCACATAGACAAGAAAGCAGTTATCTGCTAGAAAGTAAAATGTAATTGTACATTATTTCTTTTGATTAGCCTGCTATTAATCAGTATCTATGATATTCAATGTTTAACTAAAATTCCACATTCTATAAATGTTAACTGCCTTAACCACTGAAGTATTTTATAATTTTTATCAATTTCTTTCGAGTGAGAACTTTTAACAAGATCCGTCCAGATATCATAGGATGAATTTTTTCCTAGTTTTAACATTACCTAGTTGTAAGATTTTCCTGCCTCCCGAGTTGAAATTTAAATGCAAAAAAGGCCCTTTAAAGACTATTTTACCCCCTTTGGTCTTTAAAAACTATTTTACAACAAATAAATTCTTATTAAGTACAAACTTTATCATAAGACGGGTTTCCATAAATTAAAATGTCCGTCAAGCTCCCGCAAAGCCAAACAAATCTGAGATCAAAGTTGTTTTTTATTCTTTTTTTACTTCAGCAACTAATATTCTAGCTGGTTCCAACCCATCAACATTGTTCTCATCACAGTGTTGGAAGTCAAAGAAAAATTGACGCGATCCACAAAGTTTAAATAGTGTACTGTATTTTAGATTCCTGTGGTTTGAGTAGTCAACCATTTTTAAAGTCAATCGTCAGGTTGATGGACATGAATGGAGTCCATGACCCACTCGATAAAACTAACACAAATAAACCAATATAACAAACATAAAACACAAAACAGAAAACTTCATATTTCGTCCCAGTTAGGGACTTCATCAGTAGGAAGAAGAAAGAAGACTGGTATTCTTTCTTTCTTCTTCTATGGTAGACTGAGTCTTCGTTCTCCTCCCTACGAGTCCCCCTAGAGTTGTTCCTTACATTATTTTCAGCTACTGTAATGAGAATAATAATGGTCGCATTCGGTTGGGGACTGGCTAAAAGCTAAAATATTACAGGGCAAAATGACAAATTAAGAAAATGGCGTTGTCTAATATTTCAACTAGCTTGCTTGGCCAAGATTGGAGCTCAAAGGGGCTTAACTTAATCAAGGATCACTTGTAAAAGGTTTAAATGTGTCAATTTCACCGTTTTAAGGGTGATTTTCTTAGCCTCTACAATACCTGACTTGTTCTGTTTTTAAGTATATCTCCTAAATTATAACACCTAAGTATACCTGCAGTGGTGTAATTTACACTCTCAAAGTCCAATGGTTTTGGTTTATATAGTGGTTTAATTGTGCAAGTGTTTTTGTTTTTACCAAACCTATCATGGTATCTCTGAGGGAGTCAATTGAATATTTGTTACATCACTGCCTCCTTGATTGATTATATAAATCTGTTTAATCATTTTTTACGATACATATTTTCAGTCAATCATGATACAATTGAAAATATTTGTATCTTCATTTATGAGAAAACCTTACACATCTCGTAAGCCCTTTTTATAAATATGAGTACATCGTGACAAATTTTTTGTTTGGAAAATTATTTTATATCAATGGAATTCTACTTGTAAACCTGTACTCAATGTTGCTTAAATGCTAGAATTTTTTTTGTAATTAGTTGAATATAGATGAACAATTTATTAATCTTTACTAACTAGTCTATGTAAATTCCATCCATTATAGCTGTGAATGTAAATTGAGAAGAGCTTAAGCTTTACATATTAAGGAATAGTTTTTAAGTGTAGTTGTTACTAGTATAGCTAACGTTCGACTTAAGCAGTGTCATTTTGCTGTATTGGGTATTCCGAGTATTTAATGTAAAATGTGTTTAAATGTACAACAAATTATTGGTGTATTCAGGTTTTAAGGATATTACCTAAACTTATTAGTAAACTTTCTGCAATGTCAAGCAAACAACTTGACTTTTAATTGAAGACTTACTTTACAATGAGCTTGCACAATAAATTGTATTCCACTAACATTTATTATTAAGTACAGTAAGTTCTTGTGCATCTAATTTTCGAACAATAATACGCTTTATATTTTGGCTGCTTTACATGATGATGTTTTCCTTGTTTGGAAACAGACTATAAGCGTATGAGGATTAAGTTTGTAGTTCACAGGATTGCTGCCTAGGTGGCAGCACCTCTCCTTTAGGTTAAAGGTGCTGAAACCAACCTGTGGTCTTACTTAAGGCCATTCATAGATTTAGAGAATATATAACAGTTTGTAAAGGTGCGTTTTGCTAGGAACGACTGGTGCGACTTAAGCTGATGTAAACTGTTGATTTTAGCGTCTGCACTCTCTCAGATGAATTGTTGAGTTTTACAAGAGTGTATGGTGTTAATCTATAATTACCGGTAATCAACAAGCTAGAAAATTTTCTTCTGGGTGAGGCATCGAAAAACAAATAATTCCTAGGATTCTTAAATGCTAATAAGCAGAAAACTCGTTCAACACAAAACTGATGAGGGTATAGCACAGAGTTGAGTATTTACATAAGGAACATTCAATGGCACACTTAAGTGGTGCCTATCACTAGTAATGGTGTCTAGGACAAAGTTTAACACTTTCCTCACCCTCATGTACGAACATTTTCTCAAAGATAAAAAAAAAACAGCAGGCGTCTTTATCCCAGCTATGTAATATTGATTCATGGTTTGTGCTCTTGTGGTTTTATATGCACGATTAGAATTTTACCCTCCTTGCAACAAAATATTTGGAAGGCTTTAAATTAAGTTGGAGGGCTTGTCACGAATATCTTTTTCTCTGATGCAAGAACTGTTTTATCTATATTCTGGGAATTGTTGGTTTAGTTTCTCCTCCTAGATAAGTTAAAATTATGGATTGATTTATAACGTTGGGGTTAAGTTTTCTAAAAAAAAAGCTCACAGTAGACGATGCTGAGCTCTGTGCGATAGGAACAGTCTGCACCGCTCAGGCTCTTCCTTGCTCCTCACGACAAACTAGAGCTGAAAGCGCTCGGTTGTCCCATCATCGTGTTTCTTCTGTATCTTACTTCTCTGTGGGGTTCAATTTAATTTTATACTTTGCTTTAATACTTTTCATTGATATAATTAATTTAAATATCAAAAACCTTGTCAGCCAAATGCTATTACAACCCGTGACCAAAAGAATAGATGAACTAGGATTTATTTTCACGTAATAGTTATAACCTCACTGTGGCTGGTCAGGGCAGAACCTCAAGACTGGTGACAGTAGTTTTGAGCTTAACATGACAACTTAAACCCTTTATCTGTCGCTCCAAGCTAAACACACCTTAAGTAGAGATATACCTGTATCTCTTAAAAAAAACTTTCTTTACACCAAAGAAGTTTTTCTTCAATGTGTCATCTAGTGTATGCTTGCTTTGTGAATCATAATGGAGACTATTCACATTTTCACTGTTTGATTTCACAAACAATAAAAACTATTACGTAAAGTTTGGAAGGTTGTTTATGTATCAAAGCTTAAGGCTGTGATGACTCTTGTTCATGCTCACTATTTACTCATGTAACTGTCTAGTCAACTAAGAGTGGTATGTGTATTTTTTGTGTCAAATTAAAAGTTAGCAATTACTTTTATGATTGAGAATAAACAATGCTCCAATATTTGCTGATTGATTGCTTAACCTTTATTGCACCTGTTTTACCTCATGTTATATTATGTTTACACAAGTTAAGTTGGCTTAAATGCTAAACAGCAAATAAAATAAAGTAAGTAAAATAGGCACAAAGCTCCAGTGTATGTGTATGTGTAGTACAATGAACTGGAGGGAAAATTTAACCTTCTATGAATTGGCTTTCCAATCCAGCGTTCAGAATATGCTCCATGAAGATTATGTATACTTTTGTTTTTCCCTGGTTTATCCTACTGCTGCGCACCCTGTAGTGGAAATCTCTAATCTATAGGTTTTACTAAAACCTACAGTAATACAGTATTTACAAAGTTATCACCAGTGCTGTGAAGAGGACAACACAGGGCCAAACTTACACGACTTAGAGAATGCATCCCCAGAAGCTTTTTTTATTACATGCAACATGTTAGCATACTATTCTCAAACAAACTCTATATATAAAGGTAATAAGGATTACAAACTTTTAGGAAAACTGTAAGCCTCTATCAACCGAATTCTTGAATAAAAGGTCTTTATAGGACACTTGCAAAAAAAATTGGGTTTTCAATAAACCTTCTCCTAACGGCACGAACCTTAATGAAAGGTGAAAAGTGACAGCACGTGTGTGAATATTTATATCTAATGATGTGGAATATTTAATTTTAGTTTTCTAACCTTTTAATACGTGAATCTTCCAATTGAAAACATATTTAGTTCAGCTTTAACACAGTGATGTTGTTGCATGAAACAAGAACCGTTTAGTTTGGGAAGAGCCTTATGGGTTTTAAGTTGGTAAAAACTAATTCATCTGTAGAGTATTTTTCCTTGCCAGGGACATTAATATTGATTCGTATCAAGATCAAACGCCTAGAATCATCCAGCAGTTTGCATCGGACAAGACAGTAAAGAACCACAAAATCTGCTCTACTTGTTGCGGAGCACAGGCAGAACTAGTTAAATATAAAGGCAAAAACCTATCCCAAACCATTTACTAGTCAGCTTATTTCTAAATTGGAATATTTTTACTAAGTGATTCATTATTAGCAAACCCATGAGGCTGATCTTATGTTGTGTAAACTTTATCAATACTCCTTAGCTCTAATCCTCTCTAAAGCTAGCTGAGCTCTATCCCTTAAAAAAAAACTACTTATCAAGCATATTGTTGCGCAACAAGTTTGAAAGAAAAATAAATTATTGTTTGCAACCCAGGGGATATCCCCTCTAGTAAAAATGAATGTATGAGAGGAAGTCAATTAAAACAATTCAACAATGGTCGAGAAGAAAAAATATTTATTTCGAACCCATTCAACTTATTTGTGTTCCAAAACGATAACAATTGTCCTTAGATTAAAACAAAACAACTGAATCTTCAGATCCACTTGACCACACATGGGCAGAAAAAGTAACGTACAAAAGCAAATCAAAGTGTTGGTTTTCAAAATACAAAATGTCAGAAATTACAAATCAAACTACATGAGTATACAATTTGATTGTAAATCGAACTATGTTAGATTCGTTTTAGTGCAAACTTATCCACAGTCTTTTCTTGGTACTTGTACAGCTTTCAAAAAATACTTCCATTTAAAAAGGACATGGGCTGATTTTACTGAGATCATAATTTAAGCTTGATAATCCCTATCTTAGGTTTTAATTGGATGAAATAATCTATAGAAAGCGAACACACTCAAAAACAAGAAACCCATTCAAGGAGCTCACGTAAGGACAAGTAACCGACCCAAACTAAGCAATTAGAATTTCAACTCCAGGTACTTCGTACATGAATGAATTTCAAATATTCCGAATTTAATAGAAATAAAATAGCGTTACTTGTATTTATTCGTAATGATGTGGGTCAAATTGAGAAAATGCGGGGAACAAATGAACAGTACATTCCTAAAGACAAATTTAGGTTCACAGAAACAATACAAAACCTCTGTAACAATTTGAAAGCGGAAAATATACACATGCACACTAGTGTTATTTGTAACTCAGGCAAAGGTTAAACAAGCGATTCCACCAATACCCACTGCTTTCTTAGTAATTTACAGTACAGTTATTTCACAATAAACCAAGAATACCAAACACAATCTTATCTCACTGTAGTCACCACTAGCTTCTATATATTAATAGGCAAGTATGTTTTTTTAAACCTTTTTTATCAGCTCGTGTGCATCACAAGGAAAATCTACACATACTGTTGGATTTTCCTGTAGATGTGCAGAATCCCTCTGCAAATTAAAATAGGCTCAAAAATAAGCACACAAATGAAAAACATTAAAAAAATAACACGGGTCTCATGGGTTGCCATGCTGGTGACGAAATAACAACAAAAAATAAACAGAAAATCAAAACAAATGGAAGAAATTCCAATCTCATGTTTTATTTACAGCGTGGGATGAAAATAGTAGAGAAGTCTGTACATGAAATATTTTTGTTTGAGTTTTCGACCGCTAGACGAACTCTAGTATAACGTATACCGCAACACTATTGGGCTTCTTTAGCTCACCACACAGACCAGAAGGTCCATGGTGGCAGGCTGTTGAGGTTAATTGATTTAAATGTTTTGAAAAGTTGAGGGGAGCGAGCTGATAGTGTGGGGCTTCGGGTCCCGAGGGCCCAGGTTCAATTCCCAATCCTAATGGATTTTATCCATAAGATAATGCCATGACCCTCTAGGACTAGCCTGAAGTAATGTGTAAAACAGTTCTGGGCTAGAACCCAGTGTCCTAGGATACAAAGGTGGGACAAAAAAAATTAAACTCGGTGCAAAAGACCTGGTTGTGTACTCGAAATTTGAAAACTTTAATTTCAATTTGCAAAGCTTTAGACGAATATTGCAACATCTTTCATTAAGACTATACAAAATAACATGTAAAAGAAACTTATGTTGTTTTATAAAAATTGTCCATGATTATTCATTAAAAATTCTTATTACTTTCAAATGAATTTATCCAAAGTATTTTTTATACATAAATATATAAACCATTGATTATTCTTTATATGTTTATCATTTGAGCAAAAAAGAAATAAAAAATATTTAAAAAAGATTATGATTGATAACTCATCCAACAAATATTAAAGCTCAAGTTTAGTTGTTTAGCGTAACCTCATAAACCAATGGTAAATGGGTATTATTTTAATGTATATCTTTTATTACATTTCTAAGAAAACCAGCCCATTCTCCTTTTTAACCAAACATGAAATGCACTTACTGGTCAATGTGCCTTTGCATAAAAGGAATTAAATTACAGCATCCCTATAGTAATTTATAAAAAATATATAATCCTTAACTCTTAACAACAAATTACATGAAAACCAATCAGCAATACAATTTCACAATATACTGAAAAAGTGTTTTGTAATGAGAAATTATTTTTAGGCAGGTGGTTTAACTTGAAAATAAAATTAATAAGTGTTGAATAAATCAGCTTAATATTAAATAATTTGTACCAACCCAACCAACAGGTTCAGAATCATCTTGAAACTGTATTAGTAATTGAATATTTACACCAGTGCCAACCAAAAAAGCCTAAACATATGGGAAAACATGATCCCTCCTTTTAATATTTGCCCTACTTATTACTACCAACCTTAACACAAGTTGGTCATATGGGGATTAAAAATTATATTTACTATGTTTTAAACAAACCCCCCAAGAATTAGCAAACACATTATTGTAATTTGGCTTGTTGAAAGAATAATTTTTCATGGACTTGATCTAGATTTATAAGCAGTATGAATGTCCTTGAAAAGGCTAGCCATGAAAATATTTTTACAATGACAGTAATAATCATATTTAGAGGGTTAAACAAATAACTAAATATTGACATTTCTAATCATGGCTAAGATCTACAATTTAATAAAAGTGTCTAAAGAAGCCTTAAACTTTAAAAAGCATATTGTAAAGGCTGATTCAAAGCACCATAACTTAGTTATTGATAAAATTTATTTATTTAATTAGATTGTCTTAAACTATGCCAGACTAACAGCACATTTCTTTCAAAATGGGAAAAATACTTGGGGTTTGTTTAAAAATTAAATGAAAATTTGCATACCAGTTTAAAAATTGAGTAGACATCATTTGATCATCTAGATACTAAACAATTTTTAGATGACATATTCAGTTAGGCTATAATAGGACAAATTATTTATTGATAAATTTAAAACATGTTTTATTAGTTATGGGAATATTTTGTATAACAGTATGTTTCATTGAGAATTGTTTGCTCGAGCAGTTTTGTGATTGGTTATGTTGAGAACATCTCAATAATCATGGCAGTTTAAGCATATATATACCAAACAAAATAGGTATTTAACAAGGATAAACTGATAAATGGGAAAGCTATGTTTGGCTGTATCGCCGGGTTGTTAAAGCTTCCAAATAAGTTTATAGATATTAAACCAAAATAAACCCCTCATAAGAACAACACTCTTATTTATAAAAACGAATAAATATGATATTATAAGTGAGAACGAATAAATATGATATTCAAGCTGCGAAACTGTCGTCTCACAGTATGTATGTTACACAGCGAGATAGGAATGCACATAGATAACATACATTTTACAATTCATAAAATTACATCCTAACCAAATTTATTCCTAGTATGTTGACAAAACACTAATTTGGTTTTAGCTAAGGATACAAAATAATTGATTCAGTTTGAACTTATAAATTGATTACAGTATGTGTTAAATGTTATGATCACAGAGCGACACGTATTACAAAGCAGTAGTCGAACATTAACATCAGTTCAAAACAAACTCCGTAGGACCATGAATGCTACATCAGTAAGTATATAACTTATGGACATTGCAGTATCCGACTTGAGGTGAAGAAAGGTAAAAATAATTAAGCGATTCGAGTCTCTCAACACTTAGCGATTTAATCTTTCTGTTATCACTCCCCATGAAATAAAAATATAAACAAATTTTTTTCCTGTGAAAACATTACAATTTTCAACATCCTAAACAAAAATAAACAAATTATGTAGTATTAAGTGTAACAGCCCCCCTCCCACCCGTTAAATTATTTGTTATCGTTCGCTTCACGTCAGCCACTCGCCTTCTCACTCATATAAAAACAGCCTTTCCATCTTCACAGGATTTGTCAGCCATTATTTGTCAAGGGCCGTGTTGGTTTTGATTGCAATCACACACTCCTCCCCGCAAGCCTTTAAGACAGTGCACTGAAACATGACAACATTTTCATCAGGATATCCTAAATAAGTCATTTTTAAGCGTAGATTACATAAATGTCGGTAAAGGTCTCAGAAGAGATTAACAAGAGGTGGTTTAAATATTTTAAGCTTCTAATGGTTGACACTAGAGGCTTAACTTGTTGCCAGCTAGAAACAAGTTTGTGGTTGTTTTTGTACACTAGGCCTACACTATGTCAATGGGTTTTTAGTGTCATGAAAAACAAGATGACTGGACCCTTACTACCAAACAACACAGTAGAAAAATTCATAAAAACAAATGGATACTTTTCATGACCACAAATAAAGTAATATTCTGAAAAAAGGAAATACTGTAGTAATACTGTTTGTACTGTAATAAACAGGTACCAGTAGTAATTTATTTGTCAACGTGGCAATGGACTATACAATGCGTGTGCGATACTGTGTGAATCGTGGACGTTGGTGGCCAAATAAACTATCTGAATGGAGTCTAATATACAGGGTGACAAAAAAGTCTGGAAACGGTTCAATATCTTTTTAACTAAATTCGTTAGAAAATTCAAACCTTTCACATCAACTTATATGTATGAAAACTACTTTTTGCAGTCATTGCCATTATTTGACCTTCACCAGGGGACGGCCCACGAGGAGTAGGTACATAATCTTTAATGTAAGCATAGGTTGATATGCACATCATTTTAAAGGTCTGGTTAAGTGGAGTTCATTACCGGAAACCGCGTCAAAAAAGGTTCATCCGTTACAAAATGGCGGCAGTTCAAAGTTCTTGCGGAATATACCTGCAGAGGCCTTAGTATTGGTAAATACTCATAGTCAACATTAGCAGGGAAATCTAAAACCCGGTTAAATTTGTTTTGATGATTGAATACTATTAGTCTATGAGCTAGCTGACTTTAAAATACAGTCTAAGCTCTCAAGCTAATGTTTAATACGAGTATTTGCCCATACTAAGGCCTGTGCAGGTATATTTCACAAGAACTTTGGACAGCTGCCATTTTGTAACGGATGAACCTTTTTGGACGCGGTTTCCGGCAATGAACTCCACTTGACTAACCCTTTAAAATGGTGTGCATATCAACCTATGCTTATATTAAAGATTATGTACCTACTCCTCATGGGTCGTCCCCTGGTAGAGGTAAAAAAATTACAATGCTTGGAAAAAGTAGTTTTCATACATGTAAGTTGATGTGAAAGGTTTGAATTTTCTAACGGATTCAGTTAAAAAAGATATTAAACCGTTTCCAGACTTTTTTGTCACCCTGTATAAACTATTATAGGCTTCCCCAAACAAGTATGGAGGCTATTTTGTAAATCTGATTTGCTTTAACACTTGTGTAAAATGAATAAATTCCAATGCTTACAAAGGTAAAATTTTGTTTTTAATTCATCAAGAAAGTCTTGTAAATATGGAAATTAGGAGTTTGAGGATCCCAGAAATTTTTGGTCTGTTCAAATCAGCGTATTTGTGACTCGAGCCTCCAGTGAGAGGCTATAAGTAAACATCCTGCCTCGTAACAAAATGGTTGCTTGTATCTTTAATTTTGCCAACAAGTTCTGTACTGTATACGTGTTAAAGATAGATTATAATGGGCGACTGGATTTTAAAGCTAAGTTTTTACTCTCCCGATTGCAAAAAGCGTCTAGAAGGTTTTCCGAGATGGCGGGTCACAATGATGATGATATTTCTATATCACCATGAATCAGCATAATGCTAAAAGATTGCTGTGTATTGCTAAATATTGCTAAATATATATATATATATCATTTCATTATGAAAATCCACTTACCAACAACTCCTTGCCAGCATCATATTCAGACTTGAGCTGAGAACCCAGGTCACCGTCAGGAACCTTGAGATCTTCACGTAAGTCACCATTGTCAGACATCAGACACAAATAGCCATCATCCGAAATATCTGTAAGCTGAAAAATACAATGACGGTTAATCAAGAGGAACACAGGAAACTACATAGGATTAACTATATGTGAATTATTTATATGAAGATCTTAAATAAGTTTATCACATGGGTTCCAGCAACTAGGATGGACGGGAAATTGTACAATAATTTGGGACAAGACTTTTATTTCCTTCCCGATTTTTGGAAAAGGACGGGATTTCCCACCAAAAGCAACAAATTTTGAGAAAACATTTTTGCAGATGGCAGTCTTTGTGGCACTGTATTCTAAAAAGCGATAATGGGTAAAAATAAACAAGTAACATTTTTTTACTGAAAAACAAACATATTTTGGATTGAATCTTAATTCTTGGTTTCAATAGTAGCCCAATCACAGACACAAGTAAAATACAGGAATTTAAAATATAGTATCCAAATCCAAAATATTTAGACACAAAAAAGAACACTAGTTAAAATATGATAAAATACAACCCAGAAAAAAAACAGTCCTTACTGTCTTGATACTTGATGTTTTATCAGTTCTTAAACTTACAATAGATTTTTAACTGTTAAAGCTATAGGCCTAGAACAGCAACAACTTTGTGAGAATCTCACGCAAATTTCATGATAATTTCTTATGATCACGGCCACAACTGTGATGATTTCTCATCCAAGATCATATCTTAAAATCTCAAGTATCTAATGCACTTGCAGCAACAGAGTGATCATTACATAAGATTGCAGCAATGCCAGAATATAAGAAACTGAATAGCACGAATATAAGAAACGTTGTGAGTGTCTGACTTGATCGGGCAACAATCATAATACTCGCGATTGCGGCAACATTATGTGATATTACTTGAGATTACGGTAACATCTGTTATTTTCTACAATAATCATTTTAACACCTCTGGCTGTTTATCACGGTCACGGAAATAACTGGTGATGATTTACTGCAAATCACAGCATCCTTACAAAACTACCTATGTATATGAGTAGAGATTATAGGCTACACATTAAAACATTATCAACTTTAAGCAAACATACCTGGTAGTCCTCACGTTTAACAAAAGGTACGTCCATGTTGTGGGTAGAAGGACAGATATCTTCATACTTCTTTCCAGTAAATATATCCAAGCCCACAAGATGGACTTTGGCATGCCCGTGTTTACCAGTCTTTGAGGTTGACATTTCCACTATTTTACATGGCCGAGCCTAAAAAATATCATGAACGTTATAATAAAACATGTGTAAAATGGTAATTGAACTTCTTTCTAGTCTCTAATGAGTCTATAGTGTAATAAGTTTAAGTGTACTCCCTAATGAGTTTGACAGCCGTAGTAAAAAAATTGTTAAATAGATCAAACTAGTTTAAACTTTTTTTAATAAATGGCACAGTACCGGTACTATATGTTATGGTATTTAAAACTTAAAAAGATAGTAATTATTACTGCATAAGTAAAATAAACTGTTTAAATCAACATATTTAAAAATAGTGACACCTATATTTAGATTCTTTCGACAATACAACTAGACATTTCATCCCCATGTCAAATTTGTAGCCAGATTTTTTATCAAAATCGTCAATAGTTGATGTAAGACACCTACAGATTACGATTTAGGAATACTAAATTCTGTCGAATCCACAAACCTTTTAGGGAATGACTTAAGGTGAGCTATAGCTATTGTTTTGACCCATCAACCTGGGGTCAGTAACAAAAGATAAGGTATAAAATGGAATTTTAGATATTAGTGTATTCAGTGACTGGCTCACACAACTACGTTCTTTTTTAATAAAAACTTGGCAATAGCTGGTCCATATAGATGGGATGTCTACTTCAGTATCCAATAGTCAATGATAATACCTTCAAAATTCTTAAACTGCACGCAATAAACTTGTTGGCCATTGAGGTTAAAATTAGGTCTGGTCCCAATTAAGCTGGATTACCAACACACTACCAGTACAATACTGTGATAAAGATGCTAACAGAAGTCTCTACGGTTAACCAGAGTGTGAAATCCAGAGCAGGTAAGCTATATTTTGCCCAGGTAGAGGCAGTTAAGCAAAATTTGGTTGTTACTGAATGTCCACTTATTTGTAAGGCTAAATCCAAACATACCTTGAGCATAACAAATCCGTTTTTACGCAGAGCTGAGCACTGCTGTGGGTAAGTAACTGAGGCACCAGAGTCTCCGGTCTCAAAGTGGGTGTCCTCAATGTCAGCCATTTTTGTAAATTAGGTTTTCTGAAATTTCACATGGCATTAATTTATTAAATAGGTATCATATATTAGACCATATAATTACTAATTGAATTGTCAATTTGAACAAATCATAAAGTCTGATTTTGAAAATATTTTTTCAGTTTTAATCATTTGCGATCGGAATGAATATTTGCCGCTTAGCGCGTGGAAGTCGGATTTTTTTCTATAGCAGTTATCCTTTGCAAGCAGTTATCCTTTGCAATCAGATTGGCAAACATGAAATCCTACAAACGCTCGGGCATCCAGTAGGACTGGCCGACAACAATATTTTAGTTTGTAATATTCCAAACTGTGGTATGATGCCTGTAGAGTGATGCAACATAATAAGGAATTGATAAACTAAAGGATCAGCAGGCTTGCAATATCGTATTTTTTATCGTACAAATTGTGGTGGAAACAACTAAAATGAACACCTATTGTTCTGGCACAAGTGCTGTCATAATCATCATTGTTTTGGTTCAGTTTTACGTGAGGTTTTCTCGATAAATTTTGTGTTTATTTGTGTTTAAATGAAGTTTTATGTTTTTATGTACATTAGAGTTGATTATAAGAATACTTAGTACGTTTAACGTATAGGCCTAAACTTTTATCATAATTAGGCCTACAATAAAACTTTTTATCCCGTATAAAACAAATTTAGTAGTAAGAATGGAGTTAAGTTTGTTTTTATTCCCATATATTTAACTAAGTAATAATGGACGATCGTTAAGATCAGACGAATTGAGAGGCTTGTTATTTGCTGATGAAGTTGTTGACAATCCTGATATTTACTATAGAAGCGATGTTAATTTGACTGATTTAGCTGCAGAGTGAAGACTTGATTCGAGAAGAAGTATATGAGGGATATGAGGCCTATGGAAATTTGGAAGAGGATGGTTGAAGTAGTGAAGTTCAAGCAGCTCATGTGGAATTTAATGGACATTTTAAAGGCACGGAAGTGGCAAACAAAAGTGAAAATAATGATGGCACGGAAGTTGAAGATAAAGGTGCCCAAGGGCCAGAAAATAAATAAGGTATGGGTGTGTCAGGAGGCAGGACAGTGGAAGGTATGGTCTGAAGGGGATGACATTTTAATAGTGGAAGGTATGGTCTGAAGGGGATGAAATTTTAATAAGTTTCTGTAAAACATGATAGTGGTTATAAGCCACCAAATGACTAAACACTAACTACGACTTACAAATTGTTTCAGCTTTTTTTTACAGATGCTTTAATGTTAGAAATAGTGAAAGAAACAAACCGATATGCTTCACAAAAAATGCAGAAGAATAGGCCTACACCACTTAAGAAGAAATCCATCTGGCTTTCGTGTAAAGACCTTATATTGCAAGAGTTGAAAGCTTTTTTTGGACTCATAATTAACATGGGGATGAATGAGAAACCAGAGATCAGTAACTACTCATCAAACTATTGGGTTGACTACCAACCATTCTTCAAAGATGTCTTCAGTAAAGAGATATTTTTACAAATCTTCTTAAACTGCAAGGTCTTTCCACCCCTATCTGGTAGCAGTAGCTGGGACTTTAACTCTATCAGGAAAGGTGGGAAATGGCACTGCATGCCTCAATAAGAAATTAGAGAGTATTTTATCCCACAGAATGAAGTGTAGACGAAGCATGGTTGGGCTCAAAGGAAGGATCCTATTTAAATCCTACAACTAAGACCATTAAATTAAGGCCATTAAATAGGGAATCAATGTCTTCATCCTGTCAGACTCGACAACGGGTTATATTTGTGCTATTGAGCCATATGGTATTTAAAACAAACACAGTTCGCTTTATTAGGGCTGATTTAGGAGCTACTAGTCTAAGTGTCTTACACTTAGTAGACAAACTGAAGCAACTTTGGGAGTTCTTAAAGAGCTTCACGTCTTCACTGACAGATTTTTTTCTAATCTCAATTCGGCAGAAACAACCTTAGCATAAAAAGCCCATTAACCGGCACTATCATGCTACACAAAATAGGATTACCAGAAGAAGTGAGACCAGTAAGGCCTAAAAGTAGAAAGCAAAAACCAAACAAACAAGAACCCTCACATAAACCTGAGCTGAAATTAAAACTGGGGAAATCAAAATCTACAGAAAAAATTACGAAGTATCTCTTTTGTTGTGAAAAGACAAAAACTTTGTGGCTGTTCTAAGTCCAACAATGTACGGTGATAACTCTGCAGAAACGGTTAGGCGCTACAAGAAAGAGTAGGGGAGTTGGTGAAAAAGCCTGGTGCAGTTATAGTAATAAGCATATGGGTGGTGTGGACATCGTCGATCAGTAGGCTACTATTCATTCATTATATTCATTCACCATAACATCCCTGAAACAGCGTAGGAAAATGTTCTTTTGACTTTAAGAAACCACAATTGTAAAATTATTCTTTCTAGACAATGTCAATTAAGAAAGGGAAAAAGTTGTTCCCCAGAGACGTTAGAAAAATGATGTTGACACTGGTTGGAGAAGTAAGAAATGTCAAAAAACAAGGAAAACTTGGCGTAGAGGACGAGGACTAAATGGGAAACTACCTCTGCCCTATCCGCTTGATGAAGGTAAAACAAAGGATTGCACGGCGTGTAGCGATATAAGACAAGGAAAAGAAAGAAAAGGTCAACTTTTTTAACAATCCCAGACTTCATATGGGTGAATGTTGTAAAATATACCACTCAGGGGAAAAAATTAAAGAAGATTAAAAGAGAACTTTCAACTTGTTGTTTGTATGAGTAACAAATACAATCAGGTTTAGTAAATACATAAGATATTTCACTTTAGCCATCCGATCACAAAGGATTAAATCATCAAACCAAGATGATATCTTGTGTTCAGCTTATTCAATGATGCAATTTTAGCCTTATTTAGCCAAAACAGGGCCAAAACAGGGTTGTGGCCAATCAACGAGGATGTTTTTACGTCTGATGACTTGTTACCATCGTACGTCACGGACCGCCTTTCAGCACATCAACATTAAATCATATTCCCAATGATGCATCAACATCAGTAAATGCCAGTTTATCTGGTACCTGGACATCAACCAACAATTCTTGTGAAGCGTTGTTTTCAAATGCTAATCAGTTGTAAACCTTGCCAATTGATTCACCAGGCATTTTGCCCCCAATTACAGCCAGAGTTTTAGACCTAGGCCTATCTTCGCCATGTCAATCATACGCCAAATCAGGTCCTGTAATAACACCTGAAAGCATTCAGCCATTTCCGAAAGCCAGCCCTAGAGTCTCCAATCTGCCTACATTCAAAGGGAGAGTAAAAGGTAGCCTAAAACACGCATACTAACAGATACGCCAGAAAAAGAAAGGCTAATATTGATTGGATAGGAAAAAGTTGAAAAGCAGAGAAAGAAAGAAGAAATAGAAAAAAAGAAAGAGAAGAAAATTGTTCAGCATTGAAAATTCAAAAGTTAGGCCTAAATCAAAAAAGCTCAAGACGAAGAAGATCAAAACCAGTGCAATTGAAGACTCAACTTCTGCAGAAGAAAATTCAATCTCTAGTGGAGAAAGTAACTTCATCCTTAGTAGTGAGGAAGAATTTGAAATGAACCCTGGAGATATAAATCAAAAAATATTGGGACTTAACGACTTTGTGTTGGTCAAGTTTCATACAAAAAAAACCATTCAAGTACTTTGCAGGCCAAATTGAAGAACTGATTGGACTTCATGAGTAAGTCAACTTTCTTCGCACTTAAGATAAGAGAAAGTTTTTCTTTCCCCCTAATAAGGATTTGAGTGATGTGTCAATTGAAGACATTTGCTTAAAACTTCCGCCTCCAACCATTATAGGAGGTACTGAACGTGCTATAGGGGGCTTAACTTTTAAACTTGACCTAAGCCATTACAATATAGCCTAGTATTTATGTAGGCCTAAAGAGAAAATGTAAATATGAAATATATAGAGTCAAAACTGAATGCCGCCGGTTTTATACTTCCCCACCCAGTGTATGAAAAACCTAAACCGCCCCAATGTTGGGGTAGTTTCATACAAAAACACATTGGTTGGAAATATTTTTTTAAAGCTAATATTCTCTTGTTTTTTTTTTTAGTTGAAAATATGATATTCTGAATGCCTATTAAGCTTACATAATTATTTATCATTTATTTGGAGCTTAAAATAAGCAAAAAACAAAAAATTACAAGTAAAAATTTTTGAAAATTGTATGAATGTGCCCCACTCTCCCCTACAACTCTATTCACCTAGACAATGAAAATGTCATAGTAGGCCTAATTTTTTCCCTATAGCCTAGAGTAGAGTTAAATTTTACAGGTAAACACACAAATTTTCTGTAATAGCCTATAGCCTACAAACCTTTTTCAGGTAAATATGCTGATTGGAACTTAATAACTAAAATTTAGTAAAATATTTTTTAGGCTTTAGTAAAAAATAATTCTAAAAAGGTTGTGAAACTAAGCGATTTGGTGTAAGCGATAATTAAACTTAATATCGAAGTTATTGTACCCTAGTCTATATGAAAAACATTAGGCCTAAGATATAAACAGTAGGCCTATTTCATATCTTCCAAAAATACTTTTTCATCATAAGTTAGCTTACTACAGCAAAAATAGCCGTTTTTAATAATAATGTGGGTCTAAAGTAGCATTTTTACTCTCTAGTGAATAAAAGCGCTTTTTAGCCCCTAGGGAGTAAAAATCAGCTGTTGTCAATTCAGTTGTAAATTTCAATAGGCCTAGTAGCTTAAACAGTTGCATGTACTGGTAAGTATGGATTATTTAATCGATTGTAGTTAATTGTTGCCTCATCATAAATAGTTGGACATATCAATAAAATAATGTACACTAACACAATCGTCTTAGTAGAAACTATTGAATCACTTAGCCTACTAAACAGCTGCTTGTTTCCATTAGCAAAATAAATTTGAAACAAGTAAGAAGTATAGTTTTGACAGGTTTGCTGAAAAATATTTTAGTTTTGTAACATAAGTTAGTTTGTTCAAATAATGGTACAATAATATGATGAAAAATATAGTTCATGAAACAGGCAAAGAGTGTCTTTCAACCCTCAACTTTAAACATGGCATTCCCCAGATAGGTATATCTAAGTTTCTTTACACCATTTCCCATTCCTTCACTTCAGTTAATGGCGGTTTTAATAAAGTCCTAGTTAAGTAATTCCTCACAACAGTGTGTCTTTTAGTGTTTTGGAAGTAAGTTACAGGGCAATAAGACAATTTGGGTCTCCTTGTTTTTTGTAAAGCAGTGCTTATTATGTGTTTAACTTAAGTTAACAATAGTTTTATTTAATCTATTACAGTATTATTGCCTAAAGATTATGTGCTAGACATGGAATCAAGCGACAGAGGATTGATGGACTATTGGTAAATGTCTAGTACGAGTAGGCTGTTAAATGTTTTATGAAGCCTACAGGATATTTTCCCCGGCATCTTTATATTGAACCGTCCCGAGAGACAAAAAATGTTATTAGGCTAGCCTAAGTCAAAAATGAAGCTAGGAAATTGAAAACTTAGGCCACTTTAATTTAAGAGAGTGGGTGCCAGTAGGCCTAAACCAAAATCTTAAAAGTTGGCATACTAGCGTGTGTGGAGAGGGGGTTATGCGTGGCAGTGAATGGAAGTTTGGGAGGGTTGGGGGGTTGAGGGGGTGGTAGTAGGATGAGGAATCACAACGTCACAGGCATTGATAAGTCACTCACGGCGCAGCATGTGCACGGTGTTGTCAAACCCTCACCAGGAGGCATGATTTTTATTTCAATTCCAGGAGTTCCGGCATATAGGTATAGGGTGAATGTAGTGAGTCATTTAATTGCTGATCCAACAGTGACAGATGGCAGGTGTAAGGCCTATTTAAAAAATGAAACTGTTAAAACCTAACCTAACTTCATTCGCCCTATAAGCCGGAATTCCAATTGGAAAATAAAATCCCCAGGATGAAGTTAGCCAAGCACTGTGTTACATCGCGTTGGCATGGTGCACGGACTGTCAGTGAATGGTGATTCCACCCTGCTTGGCGGAGTGCGCTAAGTTAAATCACTTTAATTGCTTAATATAGGCCTACCTATTACTTAGACTACTCGGGTTTGCTAACTGCTATCCGTTAACTTTTCACCCTACCTATATTAGAAATCCGGTAGTGGTTATCTCAATTACGTATACACATTTTTAATAGGGCCTAACTAAAAATTATTATTTTGAGTTATCGATGTTTGGCTATATAAGTTAAACTTAACTTAGGCCTAACGTATAACAAAGTTTAATAAGTTGAATGTCTTAATTTGTTTGAACGTCAGTAACTTACAGTAAGTTAAGTTTCTGCCTGAATGCCAATATAGGAAGCTGACATAAACTGTTCAATTAAATTGGCACAACTAAATTAAACTTAATACCATTACCATTACCATTACCAACTCCTATGTCGTTGCCCAACACTTGTTGGATAGACTGCGTCAAATAGAAAACAACTGGGGGACTAAACTTAACTTGGGGGTGCAGTTTCTTAACTGGGCTGCACTAATATCGATGGTTCGATTAGTAAGTAACTTAGACCTTCATTCGATGTTTTCATTATCAGCAAGTAGGCCTATGATAAGTTTGGTTAGGTTATAACAGTTCCATGTTATAGTTTGGTTAACTTTTAAGCTTAGGCCCAGTTTAAAAAATCGAATGAAGGTTTAACAAAGGACTAACTTAAGTTAATCGAATCGATAACTTATTTTCAATCGATATTAGCGTTACTTAACATAGGCCTAGGTAAGTAGTCCAGTTACAAGAAACTGTACCCCAAACTTAATTTTTTACTTAGTTTAGGCTACACCAGTATAGGCTACGTTATTTCTAGCTAATCTGGGTGGGAATTGAACGTGTGATATCCTAAGTAAGCTGTCAGTAGAGATAACATTATCACTTTGTTATTACCATTGTTATTACTTTTCTAGTTAGTAATATTGCAAATGCCATCTAAATTGTTACACATATTTTGTAAAAAGGTGCAATCCGTTGGGAAATAAATAAATAAATAAACCAATGCAGGGGATGTTCTCAAAAAAGATTAGCTAGAGGACTAACTTAGGCCCTAAGTCTATGTCTGATAACTAAGTTAAAGCATAAGTTTAGGGAATCGAGTTGGAAAGTTAGTTTGTCGTTCTCAGATCAACGTAGATATCCAAGTAACCGAATAATTAATTTACGTTAAAACAGGTTGATCACAACGTGGGTTAGGGGGGGCTTTCATCTCTGCAACGTGATAGTTAAATAACCGCCCCAACAAAGCTACTGAAGAAAATAAACTTGAAAAATGTAAGAAGTCGTATTATGAATTAAAGAATACTATTCCAATACTAGAATAACGAAAATGATAGCGAACTATTAAAAATAATAGAATCAACATGGCGCGAATACCCATCAATGTCAATAAACCCAGCCCAACCGGTCACTTAATTTCAGGTATTTTATTTTCAAAACCACTTGTGTTTCTACTCGTATCAATAACCAGATATTTTACCTCACATAACGTAAAACTAAATTTACCAAAAATACATTTATGGCCATTAAATAAGATTAACAAAATAAGGGACTCACATGTGCTGTAAAAGGTAAGAGAACTAGGGAATTTCAGAGAGGCGCAGGCGTACGACGACCACGTTTTCCTTCCTGAACAAGATGGCGTCAAATTGGCTTTAGAGGGGTATCAATAATTGGAGTCAACGCCTTAGAATTTCGTGTCATTACATATAGAAGTACTATAAAATATACTGTGCAACGTACTGCACAATGCCAAACAAATGGGCGCTCATGACGTCCATAAGATGAGCAGGAACCCCTTGGGGAATCAAACATTACAAATATGCATCGTTGCATTTCTGGCTATATTAGGCTGAGGTAAGGCCTCAAATTACCTATGGTTCACTCGTTTGGTGGACAAAAGTCAATAAGATAACTAACTCATTGGTGAGTCGGTGGCTCAGTTGGTAGCGTCACGGACTTTGGGCCCAAGCAAGGCAGAAGTGTCGTGGGTTCGGATCCTGGTCACTGCCACAAACTTTTATCAGTACAGTTCACCTTTGTACTGTACCGGCTCACCCATTGCTTTGCTGGATACGTTCCAACCACGCACAGATCTGTAGTCTATGTGGACGGGCAAATGCAAGGTTAAAAGAGGCCGCCAATCACTTAAAAAAAACTTTTATAGACAAACTAGAAAGTCTGCAAAGGCTTGGTACCCTAAACTTCAGGAGCAGTCAATCAGCAACTCTCTAAGTTGCTTTTGGCTGCTACCTCTGGGGTCCATTTCATAATAAACTACTGGGGTCCATTTCATAATAAACTACTTGTAATTTCCACTAGATTTGCATTGGGCGATCAGCTGATTTACTAATAATATTAGTTTGTACTTTATTATGAAATGGGCCCCTGGGGTCCATTTCATAATAAACTACAAGTCCTCTGGACATCTTTCATTGAAGCTGAAGTTCGCTAAGCAGCTTACTTACTACCAGACCAGACCTCCAGACCAGACCGTCTGGCTGCAACCAGACCGTCTTGGACTGCTCTACACACTCCCAGACCAGACATTCCAACATTCGAAATTGAGACGCTGTGGTGAGAACTCCAACTAATAGATAAAGACTGTTACGACGGTCTACCGTCTGACAGACAGCGCTACACACTCACAGACCAGACAAAAATAGTGGTGGGGGAACCTCAGACCGTCTGTGGTCTGAGGGTACAACCAACAGACACGCAGACAGTCTGGTCCGAGAAAATTGGTCTGCAGACAGCCCCACACACGTTAAGACAAGTGCCAGACGCCAGACCAGACGGTCTGGTCTGGAGGTCTGGTCTGGTAGTGTGTGGGGGGCTTTACAGCAAAGAAGGTTGCAAATCTGTGGAAAGAAAATAAAGTGTCTTGGGCAGGTAACTACACCATTGCCAAAGCCATTGCTGCATGTCATGTGCTTGACATGACCTCAGACGTTCTTAGTGCAGAAGTAGTTTTCAGTTTTCACCAAACACTTATTTGTTAAATTCCGCTCAAGAGATGAATGGAAACATAAGGAAGAATACGGTATCAGACAAAAACAGACAGCTTAATTTTGTACACAGGTGGCTCCCAGCAAATCGATGGAAAATCACGCTTCTGACACAACAGATACTTGGGTATAGCTAACTGTGCCTATACCCATGTCCTTGACCAGGTCCAGGAGCTGAGCCACGGCCGCCTTTAACTGCAGGCCGCGGCCTTCGAACTGGCAACGTCGCAAGTGGTGTTGTAACAGCTGTTTTGTTTGGAAGCAGATAATGGTATTTGTGTATTTACGAAAGATTCGTTACTGGACTATGACAATATATATTGACTCCTCTTAAAAATGTACAGAAATAGATTTTAATTCAGATTGTTCCGGTTTTCAATTCTGTATGTTTGATTTTCAATATTTTAATAAATTTATGTTTATAAATGTCAATTTAAATCAATGAAGTGCGAATTAAATGAGCTGATGTCACCTGTCTATCATGTTACTATGGGACGTCTGTCACTGAACAACACCACTTGCGATGTTGCCAATTCTACCAGGCCGCGGCCTTTAGTTAAAGGCGGCCATGGCTGAGCTCTTGCCCTAGGTTTCTTTGCGTAGCCTATGGTTCATTAATTTATTACATACCTATTCTTGACCAACCAGGGTCCTTCCCCTGTCCCAAAGTCCAATCCAGAATTATTAAATGAAATTAAATGAATAATTTATTGTCGTTATGCCTCCTTTACAGTATCGTTGGACTGGTTACAAAGTTTACATTACTAGTTTTCATCGATTATTCCCACGGTGTGAAGGTGTTTCCTGAAATGACCGTGTATGTCCAGTGTTGGAACGAATGTACCCTGATTCCACACTTTCATGCAATGCAATTGCAATACAACTTCTGGGTGCCGTATTTGAAAACCTATAGCTTTAAAAACCTAGAATATTCCCAAATGATAAGTACTCTGTTTGTTTTTTTTTCTTTTTTTGGGGGGGGGGGAATTTATGTAGTCTAAGTTGCATTTTTACGGAATGTGTTAATGTCATTAGCATAATTTATGTTTTTTAATTTTCTGTCAAAAATAATACTCGTGCCAATTGCCAATTCGTTTGTTCACTGACACGGCCCCCTTTAACTACATAGGCTGCGGCCTGGTAGAATTGGCAACGTCGCAAGTGGTGTTGTTTAGTGACAGACGTCTCCTAAGATAACATGGCAAACAAGTGACATCAGCTCATTAATTCGCACTTTATTGTTTAAATTTATGAACATAAATTTATTAAAATATTGAAAGTAAAACATACCTACAGAATTGAAAACCGAATCAATATGAATTAAAAATCTATATCTGTACATTTTTAAGCGGAGTCAATATTGTCATAGTCCAGTAACCAATCTTTCGTAATAACACAAATACCATTTAATTTATTAGCTGCTTCCAAACAAAACAGCTGTTACATCATTACTTGCGACGTTGCCACTTCGAAGGCTGCGGCCTGGAGTTAAAGGCGGCTGGGCCAATGAGCTGGCTATAATATTATAACGTGGGTCGTGGGGCGCGTGGGGTCCCAGTTTATCGACATCCCAAAAGATCGACACTGAAATAGTCCCACTTTGTCGACAACTCAAAATGTCGACAGTGTCGGTAATATGGGATGTCTGTAAAGTGGGATGTCGGTTATGTGGGATGTCTGTTATGTGGGACGGTTGTGTAAATTTTCCCACTTTATCGACACGCAAAATGTCGACAAGCAAAACAGATCGACAAAGAGCGGGAGATTCAAATTGAAGGTGAACAGCTCTTGCTGAACAGCTCGGTTGAGTCCGGATGCATATGTAATGGAGAGTCGTTCTTTTTCTTAACTCCGAACGACTTCTATTCACCGCGCTTGCAGTCTCCTTCAAATTTGGCAATGCTATCCCAACTATCATGTGTATATAAATTGTGTTCTGTTGTTTGAAGGCTTTAAAATAATCTGACATTTTGTCAAACTTGTATTATTATACTGTTTTTTTTTTCGTGTAAGAAGAAGGTAGTTAAGACTTGCTACCTAGGCCAAACTTTGCTTGAGGATGATTATGATATCCATCCAAAGTTTTTTCAATCATAAATTTATATGAAATAGAAATATATAACGATATAGTAAATAGCTTTTTCATTTAACTTGCTAGCTTAGTGTTAAAATAGATCAACCCAAATAACAATTTTACGTTCTCCAGAACTTACATCGGAAATGAGGAAATGAAAAACTGCGTTAATTTTCCTAAACAAACTGCAGATGCTTTGATTCTTTTGTTAACCTTTCCATTACCAATATGGCAATCCATAAAAAGCAGTGACAACATAACATTTTGCAATTTCTTTCCAAACTATTTTGGAGAGCTTTAAAACAAATTATTTAGTATATTGAAGCATTGTTATGCGCCTAATGGTTACGGAGAAAACTCAAACAGTTTAAAATTTAAACTGGCTCGAACGGGAAATTTCGTTACAACATACTGACTATACATCACTGCATTTACCTAGCAGTGTAGCCATGCTGCGGAAGGAAAGTTGAAATCAGGGGCGTAGTCTCGCTGAATTGAATTAAAAATCATTATTTTTAGCCTTAGCCAATCTATTACCGACCCTCTACGACTAAACTATACGTGACATTTGTTGTTCTACTACTTTTACTGAACCTCTTAAATTTTATCTCTAAGGTAGTATGTGTTAAAATGAAATTGTATTAGTTAAATAATCATTTGTCTAATGAAATTTTACTTAAGTTAAATTTAACGTTCGTTGGTACCATTTTATTAAAACGAAAGGTTCGTAATTGCTTAAAAGTTGTTATTTGAGTGGAAATTAAATCGTAAAAGAAATTCATAATCATATTCTTAATTCATTTCTAAAGATTTGGATAGTTAAAAATATACTGTAATATGCTAACTGGCTAATGGTTTTTCATGATCTTGTATTTCTGTAACAGTCAGTCTTCCAGTCACTTAACTGCATTCTCCGTAAAAAATATAACACATAGATAAAACATAAAATTTAATGTACTTTTTCCATAGGACGTCATTACAAAATGTAACAACGTCTATATGAGTTTTGCATGTGTCATCATAATGAAAACTATGTTTACGAGGGATAGACATCAAGTACATTTTTTTTCAGAGGCTTTTTGGTCGATGCGCTATACTTCCTCAATTTCGAAAATTAAGGCGCCACTTCAAATGTTTTATTAACTGCTACGCTGGAAAAATATTTCAAATACTTACATTTATAACAAAAATAAATGTTATATTACAGTATCTCCATTCCGCCTTTTTTACTGTCTCCCCTATACACAGTATATGGAGTAAGTATTGATGTAGGCCTATTTGTTATTGATGCACTTTTTGAATCTATGGTATTGTTTGCCAAAGCTGTCGAGTTTGTGGTTCGAATAAAAATATCCATTTTCGGTCTCCTTTAGCCCAATCTAAATATTCATAGGCAAGCATGTTTGTTTACACCTTTTTTCATCTCGTGTGCATTGCAGGGAAATTTTACGCTTACTGATGAAAAGATATTTTCATGTAGATGTGTAGAATCTTTTAGCGAATTTCCCATATAGGGAATAAGCTATTACCGTTACTCATGGTAAGACCTGGACCCGGGACCGAT